CTGTCCTTAAAAGCAAACTGTTTTGCTTTTAGAAATAAATATTTAGAAATAAATATTTCTTCTTTCCTCACAGCTGTCTGGATCTCATTTTTATTTATTATTTATTTTTACACAGCCCCAGCTCGAGTTGGAACCCCAAATTATTATTCTGGTGTTTTGATCACTGAATTATGTCATTTTAATGGCTCCAATAAGAAAGCATAAGATCTAAATGTGAAATCTGGGAGTGAGGGGGGAGGGCACAGGAAACAAGTAAGGGTGTGTGTGTTTATCTGTGTGCAAGTTGTGCATATACTCTTTATTATTTGGAACTGTTCCTCATCCTTAAGAACTTCACTTTTCTAAACTGCTATTTGAATCAGATACACCTATTTATCAATATAGGATTTACTCTCAAATAAAGACTTGAGAAAATTTACAAAGTTGATATTTTCTACCTTAACAGCTTTTGAGGTGGTTAAACTAAACAAAAGCATGGCAGCAATTATAAACCAGAGCAAATACACAGCAGCACAGCTAACAAAACTAATACATGTTAAAAGTCAGGCTGGCCAACAAAAGAAAACCTGGAGGATAAAGCTGCATTATAATGCAATAAAGACATAATAGAGGCAATTTTGAGGGGTAGTAGACATATCTGGAACACTGCAAATACATTGCAGATACTCTCAAAGAGCTAAACACAAGTGCGGCCTTGCTCCTAGGTATTTTCTCTCAGGATACTCTCTACCAGAGATTGTCTTTTTCTAAATCAGGGGGTAAATTAGAATATTAAATATGGTGGTTATGTGCTGTTATCAATTCCAGAAATATTCATGAAAATAAAGGCAACGGGGATATGTTTTTGCTTTGTGGCATGATTTCATCAGCATTTTATTTTTTAAAATCAGCAGGGACAAGTTTGTAGACATCAAAGGAAGTGTCTGCAGATACTCTTGTGGCCCATTCTTGAATTACACTACACCAGTAATGACTATATATTCACATACTTGTGTTTTTTTTTTTTAAATTATTTGCTGCATCTATCAAGTCCATGTTGATTCTCAGCCCAGAGATAAGATTTTCTCCATGACCATTTCCCTAACCTGGCCTTTCAGATCTTTCAACATATACCTTATTTATTTGTGGTAAATTTAACCAGTTTATGAAATGTACTTTTCCCGGTACAAATGCAGTAGATTACAATAAAGAATACGGACCTACACAACATGCTAAAAGCTAGCTTTCTAATTTGTAGCTTGGTGGTGATCCTGCAACCCGATGGCAATTCCACGCCTCAGGCAGGAGGAATATTTCAACCTGAAATATTGAATCTTTTAGGAATGAATAAATGTCGCTTTCCCAAGAACCTGAAATAACCAGATTCTTATGCATTATATTACCCAGATGAAAACCCAGTGGATTCAAGTCTTATTCTTAAAGAAGCGTTTCAGACGATCTTATTATGCTCCAGGGGTATCGATAGCAATCATGATAAAAACGCATATTTTAGATACTGTTCGGATCTTTTCCCATTGCCACTTTCTTTCTGCATTTAATTTCAAGTGATTTAATTTTTTTTCGGGGGGGAAAAAGTGATTTTGAAGGTGGGGAGCGGAGCATACTTTTCAAAAGGGAATTTGCCCTCTGCAATCCAGAGAACGTTTCAAATAACTCTTAATCGGGCGTCTCCTCTAATCCCATCGCTATCTTTAATAATACCGAAAGAATTCCGGACATGGCTAAAAAAAAAAAAAAAAAAAAAAAAAAAAGCACAGCAAATGAAAGCGCGGCACGTGCATGATGCCTTAAAAGGCTCCTCCTGCTGACTATTACAAAGCACCACAACATCCACCTTCGTCACGTTTTCTACACCCCCCCCCCCCCCCCCGAGAAGCACAGCAGCACTCGGGCAATGCTTCGTGACGCGCGAAGTGGCGGGGGAGGGACCTCCTGAGTTTACGTAAGAAGGAAGCGGTGCATTTTGGGGATTGTAGGCCTGCTAGATATCGAGGCCGCCCGCGCTGAGATGGTGAGATAGGGAGTCATTGTTCCAGGTCGACAATACAGAGCGGCGGAGGAAAGACGTGGGAGCAGGGTGGGGTGGGGGAAGCCAGCCCGGCCTTTTAATTGTGGCTGTTTTGGAGGATTTGGTATTGGTATAATTGGAGGTTAGACGGGGGTGGGTGGGTTGCTTTGTATATATTGTTCTGCTAAGAGGGATTTTAGGCATCCCCCCACCCCTCTGAGATTTTCCATAAACCCACTTTTCATTTACTCTGCATGGCAGATAATTCAGAAAAGGGTGCCTCCGAGTAAGCCTTCTGGCGACACCCTATTCCGTTTTACAAATAGGCAGCACTGCAGAGTCAGTAACGCAGCCTAAAGTTTGGAAGGAAGGAAGGAAGCCCCCGATGTACTCTGCATTTAGGGTTTTTTACTCAGCAGTTAACAGTGAGGACGGCGGCTTTAAGAATACAGCAGGGTTTTAAAGCTATCTTCTGTTCAAAGGATTACAAAATTAAATTCTTCCGTGACTTAAAGTTAAGGCGAGAGAAGAGTTTCTAGGTAGGAATTCATGCGTGCTTGAGAATTATAAGTAGATGGTGCTTAAGAGGTTTGCCAACGGTAATAATATAGTTTGTGTTAATGCTTCTGATGTGAAGTCTGGTGGGAAACATGAATATTTGGCCTTTTCTTATCTGTTGCTGTCCAAATATAAATTGGGCTTCAAATTGTATTCAAATTCAAATTTCCCAGCTTTTCAGTTCTCATACTTTTCAACTAGCTATGCACCAAGACAAATTCCTTGTGTGTCCAATCACACTTGGCCAATAAAGAATTCTATTCTATTCTATTCTATTCTATTCTATTCTATTCTATTCTATTCTATTCTATTCTATTCTATTCTATGTCCTTAAAAGCAAACTGTTTTGCTTTTAGAAATAAATATTTAGAAATAAATATTTCTTCTTTCCTCACAGCTGTCTGGATCTCATTTTTATTTATTATTTATTTTTACACAGCCCCAGCTCGAGTTGGAACCCCAAATTATTATTCTGGTGTTTTGATCACTGAATTATGTCATTTTAATGGCTCCAATAAGAAAGCATAAGATCTAAATGTGAAATCTGGGAGTGAGGGGGGAGGGCACAGGAAACAAGTAAGGGTGTGTGTGTTTATCTGTGTGCAAGTTGTGCATATACTCTTTATTATTTGGAACTGTTCCTCATCCTTAAGAACTTCACTTTTCTAAACTGCTATTTGAATCAGATACACCTATTTATCAATATAGGATTTACTCTCAAATAAAGACTTGAGAAAATTTACAAAGTTGATATTTTCTACCTTAACAGCTTTTGAGGTGGTTAAACTAAACAAAAGCATGGCAGCAATTATAAACCAGAGCAAATACACAGCAGCACAGCTAACAAAACTAATACATGTTAAAAGTCAGGCTGGCCAACAAAAGAAAACCTGGAGGATAAAGCTGCATTATAATGCAATAAAGACATAATAGAGGCAATTTTGAGGGGTAGTAGACATATCTGGAACACTGCAAATACATTGCAGATACTCTCAAAGAGCTAAACACAAGTGCGGCCTTGCTCCTAGGTATTTTCTCTCAGGATACTCTCTACCAGAGATTGTCTTTTTCTAAATCAGGGGGTAAATTAGAATATTAAATATGGTGGTTATGTGCTGTTATCAATTCCAGAAATATTCATGAAAATAAAGGCAACGGGGATATGTTTTTGCTTTGTGGCATGATTTCATCAGCATTTTATTTTTTAAAATCAGCAGGGACAAGTTTGTAGACATCAAAGGAAGTGTCTGCAGATACTCTTGTGGCCCATTCTTGAATTACACTACACCAGTAATGACTATATATTCACATACTTGTGTTTTTTTTTTTAAATTATTTGCTGCATCTATCAAGTCCATGTTGATTCTCAGCCCAGAGATAAGATTTTCTCCATGACCATTTCCCTAACCTGGCCTTTCAGATCTTTCAACATATACCTTATTTATTTGTGGTAAATTTAACCAGTTTATGAAATGTACTTTTCCCGGTACAAATGCAGTAGATTACAATAAAGAATACGGACCTACACAACATGCTAAAAGCTAGCTTTCTAATTTGTAGCTTGGTGGTGATCCTGCAACCCGATGGCAATTCCACGCCTCAGGCAGGAGGAATATTTCAACCTGAAATATTGAATCTTTTAGGAATGAATAAATGTCGCTTTCCCAAGAACCTGAAATAACCAGATTCTTATGCATTATATTACCCAGATGAAAACCCAGTGGATTCAAGTCTTATTCTTAAAGAAGCGTTTCAGACGATCTTATTATGCTCCAGGGGTATCGATAGCAATCATGATAAAAACGCATATTTTAGATACTGTTCGGATCTTTTCCCATTGCCACTTTCTTTCTGCATTTAATTTCAAGTGATTTAATTTTTTTTCGGGGGGGAAAAAGTGATTTTGAAGGTGGGGAGCGGAGCATACTTTTCAAAAGGGAATTTGCCCTCTGCAATCCAGAGAACGTTTCAAATAACTCTTAATCGGGCGTCTCCTCTAATCCCATCGCTATCTTTAATAATACCGAAAGAATTCCGGACATGGCTAAAAAAAAAAAAAAAAAAAAAAGCACAGCAAATGAAAGCGCGGCACGTGCATGATGCCTTAAAAGGCTCCTCCTGCTGACTATTACAAAGCACCACAACATCCACCTTCGTCACGTTTTCTACACCCCCCCCCCACCCCGAAAAGCACAGCAGCACTCGGGCAATGCTTCGTGACGCGCGAAGTGGCGGGGGAGGGACCTCCTGAGTTTACGTAAGAAGGAAGCGGTGCATTTTGGGGATTGTAGGCCTGCTAGATATCGAGGCCGCCCGCGCTGAGATGGTGAGATAGGGAGTCATTGTTCCAGGTCGACAATACAGAGCGGCGGAGGAAAGACGTGGGAGCAGGGTGGGGTGGGGGAAGCCAGCCCCGGCCTTTTAATTGTGGCTGTTTTGGAGGATTTGGTATTGGTATAATTGGAGGTTAGACGGGGGTGGGTGGGTTGCTTTGTATATATTGTTCTGCTAAGAGGGATTTTAGGCATCCCCCCACCCCTCTGAGATTTTCCATAAACCCACTTTTCATTTACTCTGCATGGCAGATAATTCAGAAAAGGGTGCCTCCGAGTAAGCCTTCTGGCGACACCCTATTCCGTTTTACAAATAGGCAGCACTGCAGAGTCAGTAACGCAGCCTAAAGTTTGGAAGGAAGGAAGGAAGCCCCCGATGTACTCTGCATTTAGGGTTTTTTACTCAGCAGTTAACAGTGAGGACGGCGGCTTTAAGAATACAGCAGGGTTTTAAAGCTATCTTCTGTTCAAAGGATTACAAAATTAAATTCTTCCGTGACTTAAAGTTAAGGCGAGAGAAGAGTTTCTAGGTAGGAATTCATGCGTGCTTGAGAATTATAAGTAGATGGTGCTTAAGAGGTTTGCCAACGGTAATAATATAGTTTGTGTTAATGCTTCTGATGTGAAGTCTGGTGGGAAACATGAATATTTGGCCTTTTCTTATCTGTTGCTGTCCAAATATAAATTGGGCTTCAAATTGTATTCAAATTCAAATTTCCCAGCTTTTCAGTTCTCATACTTTTCAACTAGCTATGCACCAAGACAAATTCCTTGTGTGTCCAATCACACTTGGCCAATAAAGAATTCTATTCTATTCTATTCTATTCTATTCTTATTCTATTCTATTCTATTCTATTCTATTCTATTCTATTCTATTCTAATGTTCATGTTGAAGGCCAAAACTTTGGTGGGCCCCATATTAAGGAAAGCTACTTGTTGAGGATAATTCTGGAAATAATCACGTCTCTCATACTCTGGATAGTACACATAGTCCTCCAGTTACGACCACAGCTACCAAGCATCTGGATTTTGATCATGTGACCATGAGGATGCTGCAACTGCCCTAAGTTTTTTTTTCCAGTGCTATTGTAACTTAGAACAGTCACTAAACGAACTGTTGTAAATCGAGGACTACCTGTAATGCAAAACTACTCAGAAAAACCCATTAAAATTTACCTGGGACATTTTTCCAAACAAACATAAAACTGCAACTTTAAACTGCAATTCTAAATTATACAAGAATGTATATCTCGGCAAAGTATTCTGAAAGTAATGATTTCCATTGGGAGGAACCTGAAAGGCAACCTGTATTCTTTTCTATTTAGATGGTTACTGTTTTCCGAATAAACTATCCAAACCAGAAATTGGAATTCTTATTAAAATGTCTTCTGATTCATCTTCATCTGCCCCAGCAAAAAACACTTCTTCTGTTGCATTTGATATCTACAATATTTGCCGTCTACTAACTAGAAGATCACAGGGATTTTATACCAAAGATGCTGGAACTGTTTATAGGAAAAACATGAGTCTCTTGAGGAAGCTAATATGCCAGGTAACAGCTATGGGAATTCTTCATATGCAGTACATCTTATAGCTCAATCTATACCAGGTTTATTGACAACTTCTGCATAGAAACCTAGAATGAATTTCATATGTAGATCATAAATTTGAGATTAAGTATGGATTTAATGCTGTTTCCTACACTTGTATGTTTACTAAAAATAGAAGCATGAAGTGGTTCTAAAGGAAATATTTTTTCAGTGATTATTAATGCAATCAAGACTACAGAGTACTTGGTACTAAAAATTCCAAACAAATCTCTTAGTGCATTCCTATATATAGCTACTTAGAAATAAGCCTTGTAGAATTAGATGAGATTCATTTTCCAATAGGCTTGTATAGATGGCAGCTTTATTGACTCTTCTGGGTCTTTTCAAAGGTTGCTGCAGTTCAGTCCCATACAATACATACATCATTATTCCTACTTTCCTATAACCCTACTTTGGTCAATCTAGTTACTTCTACTTAATTATGCATAGGACTGAAGCTAATGTTATATGAGTCTCTGGAAAGTTACCATACCATTGCTTACATTGTTAGGTATATTATTTATATGAGATGTAGTTATAGCATAAACCGGCTCAGAAAAATTGCAAAATTAATTAAGCCTCAAAGTTCCAATATGTGCCAATATGACATCTCAAATAAAATGGAACTTTGAGGAACTTCAGGCCCCAGAGTCTTATTTCGTTGGGGATGTTACTTGGAACCCTGACATTAATATTGTATAGTTGCACTTTATATTTGACGTTGGAAAATAGGTATATTATCTTCCATCTTTGATGAAAAATATGATGTAGAAATGATTAAGCCAAATCTTTATATAACTAGTTATTGTTTATTTCAGGAGACAACAACATTCAAGAATGTTTGTACTATACAGTCTTCATCTCCAATTTCTTATCACAGTGGAAAAATTTATCTTAACAATTACCGGCGTTGTGTGAGCTGGTAATTATTCTCTTTAAAAACCTTCTCCGTTTCCTTTTAGAAAATATTGTAAAGAGATATTTATCTTTTTCTAAGTAATTTTATTAATTTTAAATGATAAAATTTAAACAGTACAATATTAATATCTAGATATTCATAGAGGCATAGTGTTTGGGGTAAAATTGGGTGAGGTGGTAATTCTATAGAGCTGAAGGCTGACTTGCCTACTTGAAAAGGTTCTGTTTATTTGATATAACTCATGCCTAGAATTACAGATCTTTGTTTTTAGTTATTTTTAACTTTTCTAGTTTTAGCTTGGGCTTTATGTTTTATTATAAATCGCCAAAAGACCTCAATAGCTAGTGGTAAGGTAAAGGTAACGTTAAAGGTTCCCCCGCACATGCGTGCTAGTCGTTTCCGGCTCTAGGGGGTGGTACTCATCTTCGTTTCTAAGCCGAAGAGCCAGTGCTGTCCGAAGACATCTCCGTGGTCACAAGGCTGGCATGACTAAACTCCGAAGGCGCACAGAGCGCTGTTACCGTCCCACCAAAGTGGTCCATATTTTTCTACTTGCATTTTTTACATGCTTTTGAACTGCTAGGTTGGCAGAAGCTGTGACAAGTAACAGGAGCTCACTCCGTCACGCAACACTAGGGATTCGAACCGCTGAACTGCCAACCTTCTGATTGACAAGCTCAGTGTCTTAGCCACTGAGCCACTGCATTCCTAGCTTGTGGTACATTATATTAAATAAAAAGTAACAAATTAATATCCTGGTATTTGTCTCTAGTAATACCAAATCAGGCAGAATATGATCCCACAAGGTGGCCCTGAGCAGTGATGGAGAGACATGAGAAAGCAGAACTGAAATAATTGCAATCCTCTGGTAATGATGAAGTTTAGTATCACAGAGTGGCATGGGGAAGATCCTGAATGCTGGGCACTACGAAGATTTGGTAACAATTTAGAATAGTTCATGGAATTCATCCCCATCAGATGTCATGGTAGCTACCAATGTAGATGGCAATTAGACATATTTGAGAAAGGGATATCAGGGGTTATATCCTTGTTTTAGAATTCCCAAATATCAGTTGCTGTGATGCTAAAATGAGAGATTAAATGCTCATTTGCAGGCTGTGAGTTTTCTGGCTGAATCTGCTTGGGCACCATGACTTCTCACATTTTATAAATCTTATGTGATACAGCATGTTAGCCAAGATAGGACTGTTGCCTATTCTAACAGTATGCTTATGTTCTTAGTAAATAAGCAGGACTGTTTGAATAATAGAAAGGGATATATTTTAATTTCCTCCTCCTTTTGTGTCTGTCAGCATTACACCAGAGCCAAGAACGATTTATCAAATGCCAGGATGGCCTACCTCAGAAAAAATAGAAGATGCTTTATTATTGGAATGCCCAGTGGTAAGATTTTTTTAAAAAATAACTCTGCTGAATATGACAAGTAATTGATACCCTTGTGTCATATCCAAAATATCCTCCCTTCTTTTTTCTTAGTTACAAGCACAACAAATTCAGTGAAATCGCAGAAGCATCATTTGATGAATTAAAGAAGCATTTTAATACCAAGTTTGGGTTCTCCCTGTTACCTATTTACATGTACCTTCTGTTCTTTGGGATAAAATATGTGATGTGTGAAAGCTAAAAGATAATAGATTAGATAGATAGATAGATAGATAGATAGATAGATAGATAGATAGATAAAAAAGAAAGAAAGAAAGAAAAAAAGAAAAAGAAAAAGAAAATTTTCAGGAATATGGTTGGACAAAACAATCAGTTATACAACTGGTCTTTTTTTTTTATAAAAAGTTTTTTATTGTTTTATACACAAACACACACACAGTACATCAGGCATTCCGTGTGTCATCTCGTGTTTCTTCAATAACTACTTCTTCAAGAGTTTAGAAGAGGCTACAGTATTTAGCTACTTTCCTAATATTCTGTTTTGCTGTCGGAATATATATAAATTACAGGAAGATGTCAATACATTTGACAAAGTGCAATCCAAAATATTTTGTGAATTCATACAACCTTAGATGCTCCATGTTTGAAATCTGATTACTATATGAAGTATTATGGTTTGATAGTGCTTGGGGTAGTAAACTACATATAATAAAGGATGGGCCCAGATTGTTGAGACAACTGGGGGGGAGCAGTTCCCCCGCCCCCTTGCTGCAGCAAGGAGAGATGGGAAGAATGGAGGGCAAATGTTAAAGCAAGTATTGGAGAAGCCACCAGAATCACCAAAGGCTCTGCTTCTGGCCTCTGGTCCAGGCCTTACTTACCCCACTTCCTGGCAATCTGTAGCAGCTACAACTCCTCCCAATTTCTTGGTACTAAATTCTACACTATTTGTTCATGACTTCTGTAGGGTTCTTGCCTGTATAACTAGATTGACTGAATGTGTGGGACAAGGATTGGGAAGCCCTGCAGGAACTACGGGCCCCAAGCTAGTTACTTCACCTGGCTCTAGCACTTATTATGTCCCTGATAGCAAGGAAGAACAGTGTTCAGTGTTGGAAAAGTAGAGGTAATCTAGATTTAGAGTTTTGAATTACAGATACAGTACCTGTTTTTGAGTGGGCTTTTTGTCAACATACTGGAAGGAATGATAAATACCTTGTGCATCAGAGTTTAATAATATGATTTAAAATTATAAGTTGTATTAATGGGGGTTATTAATAATATGGAAGTTTTGTGTGAGTTTTCCCTTTTAGAACATTTAAGCAACATGTTAAATTATTTAAATGAAAATAACTTTTAAGGAATGAGTCCTTCAAGATATTTTGAAATATAACTCACTTGCTTGTGCTAGCTGGGTCATTCCACAACATCTGGAGGGCCGAAAGATTGTTCTTGCCTGCTTTGGTGAATGTATCTGGACGATTTTTGTGCAGGGTGGTAAACAATCAGTGGCATCTCTATCAAAATGAAGGCCTATAGGAGTACAGGTAGTCCTCAATTTACGACCACAATTGAGCCCAAAATTTTTGTTGCTAAGTGAAACATTTGTTAAGTGAATTTTGCCCCATTTTATGACTTTTCATGCCACAGTTGTTAAGTGAATCAGTGCAGTTGTTAAGTTAGTAACACGGTTGTTAAATGAATCTGGCTTCCCCATTGACTTTCCTTGTAAGAAGGTCACAAAAGGTGATCACATGACCCCAGGACACTGCAACAGTCATAAATATGAGTCAGTTGCTAAGCATCTCAATTTTGATTATGTGACTATGGGGATGCTGCAACGGTCGTAAATATGAAAAACGGTCATAGGTCCCTTTTTTTCAGTGCTGTTGTAACTTTGAACGGTCACTAAATGAACTGTTGTAAAGTCGAGGACTACCTGTAAAAGGCATTCCCCCAACTGGCTTTACAGGTAGTCCTTGACTTGCAACAATTTCTTTAGCAACTGTTTGAAGTTAAAACAACACTAACAAAGTGACCTACAACCAGGCTCGCTCTTACGACCATCACACCATCCTCGTGGTCACAGGATCAGAATTTGAGCAGCTGGCTACTGGCATTTACTTATGTTTGCAGCATCCCAGGTCAATGTTATTGTCATTTGCAGCCTTCCCAACCCACCATTCCAACAAGTAAAAGTCAATGGGGAAAGCCAGATTCAATTAACAATTGCATGTTTCACCCGACGACAGCAATGATTCGCTTAACAATTGCGACAAAAAAAAGGTTGTAAAATTGGGCACAACTCGTCTTAACAACTGTCTTGCTTAACAGTGGAAATTCTGACCCCCATCTGTGGTCATAAGTCAAGGACTACCTGTACACAAATGCAGCCGATTGTAGTTTATTCAGTAAACCGTAGCTTAGAGAACTGTGGCGTAGCATGACATGTGACCTTTCTCTGAATTTTGTAGAGCTAAGGTCTTTTTAATGCAGGGGGAAGTATTGCCCATGCCTTCAGACTACAAGCCTTCTTGGGCAGCTGTGACCGCTCACAACTGGCTTTTCCGCCTGTCTGCAAATTCAGGAGAGATACTTGAAAAGGTATACCTCGCTTCCCACTGCAAATTCAGGTAATCAGGGTATTTTTTTTTATTTTTTTATTTGATTTATATGCCGCCCTTCTCCGAAGACTCAGGGCGGCTTACAATGTGCTCAGCAATAGCCTTCATCCTTTTTGTATATTTATACAAAGTCAGCTTATTGCCCCCACAAACTGGGTCCTCATTTCACCTACCTTAGAAAGGATGGAAGGCTGAGTCAACCTTGAGCCTTGGCGAGATTCGAACCCTGCAGTAATTGCAGGCAGCTGGTCTTAATAACCAGCTTAATAACAGGGTGCCTTAAACCCCTGTCCTACCAAGGCTCTGCTGGATATAATGCTGTATGGGTGCCTTAAAAGGAATGGAACTCTTCATGTTTCCCGTCTAGTTTCAGTGCTTTAAAATGTAACCCTAAAGAGGCTGTAACCCACTGTATTCATTAGATTTATTCCTAGATTTCTTCAGGTTAATTATAGGCATGTCTCTTCTCAATTTTCTCTACCTTTCCTACTTGATCTGGCAGAAGAGACGTGCTTTGGAGGCTGTCGGCTTAGCGGCCCAGAAAGTAGGCTTTTTCTGTCATACAGTACTGTTTTTTGGGGGGGGGGCGGGGGGATATCATCCCCCTAAGTTGATCTTAGTCCTGTTCCTGTTACCCTTCTGTAAAGCCTGGAAAATTTAGTTTTGTGCCTGAGCCTGAGCCTGGGACCCTGAAAATGTGATAGGACCCATCTCCTGCTGTGTGAATAATTGGTTGGATAATGCCCAACTGCCATGAGCTTTATTTGTTTATGTTATTTATTGTATTGTAAACTATCTAAAGTCACATAGGATGGGCAGCTATTTCAAATACATTTTATTACCATGGGTGGTTGCACAGTCATCCAGATGTTTAGATTGGATCTGGCATTTTTGTCCACTTACCAAGTTCCTTCCAAGGACCTGGAAGAGGATGATACTATTGTCTGTTGATGCTGTTCCAAGTAAAGCTGCCTCTTGCAATTGACCGGGGATGATTTTGTTCTACTTCTGTTTGTGGGTCTTTGTATTTTGTGATTTTTCTCCAGTTCTTTCTCTTCTCTTCTGCTGACTCCAGGTGCTAATTCTATCTTTGCTTTCTTTTTGCCACAGTTGTTATTATTATTAGACAACAGAATAGAAGATAACAGTACCGTGTTTCCCCAAAAATAAGACCCTGTCTTACATTTTTTGAACCCCCAAATAAGTGCTTGGCCTTATTTTCAGGAAGGTCTTATTATTTTGGGGCGCGTGGAGCAAGATGGGGCTTCTCTTGCCGCCTTACCTGATTCCCAGCTCTGCATTTAATTCTTTTTTTGGGGGGGAGGCTTATTTTAGCGCATGCTAAATAATGTCTTATTTTCGGGGAAACAGTAGAAGGACTGTGGCAAAAGTAAGCAAAGACAGTATTAATTCAATCCATTGTAGGCTCCCTGGGTGCGATCCTAAAACATATGGAGCATCACTTGAACACCATCAGCATTGACAAAAATCACCATTGGACAATTGCAAAAACAGCTTTACTCAGAACAGCTGATGTCCTGCAATACCTTTTAACCCTGACGAAGAACAACATTTGCCCATCCCAGGTTCTTGGTAAGGACACAGTACATGGATAATTATTATTATTATGGTAGTTTGTGTGCCTGCACTTTGACCTACACTGACTTGCGAATCCCTTTCACTGAAATCAAATAGCTATAATGACACGTTTTGCACTCAGGACTAAGGTGTAAACTTTTAACACAGTGTAACAGTGTCATTATTTGATAGCAGAGTTGAAACTGCAGGAGTTTGTTTGAATCCAACAAAGATATATTTTCAAGTGTGTCTTTTCTCGGGCAGAAAACTCTCCTGGTTAAATCAAGCTGTGTTGTTTCTTAGTTAAATAAAATATTTTGTTCTCAATTGGCTTTCTAAAAGTGCACTATAATTCTATTTTTTATGAGTTTCCTCTTTATTTCTTATAGGTACTTAAATTGGGACATGCCTCAAGAGGTCATGGCAATAAAGTCAACTCAGCTAAAACTCCCAGCAGCTGCACGACGGGTATGTTGACATGAAAGTGTTTATTACTGCTCTCCAAAAAGACTTGCCATTGCATTTTAGAGAAATAGACGTGTTGCTTTCTTTTGCCACAGTCGTTATTATTATTAGACAACAGAATAGAATCTTCATGCTTTCCTGGTAACTGCATCTTTAAAGTACATAGACTCCTTATGAATCTCTTTTGAGGTTAGCATACAAGTTACTGCTCCATTGTGTTGCAGGTTACTAACAATACAGTTAGTTGAGACCTTGCAAGCATGAGCCATACCTTAATCTAGCCTTCCCCAATTTTAATCCTTGGACTTTTTGAGGATTCCTTAAATGGAGACTTAGTGGGAAGGTTATTTGTCATTTTGAAAGGTGGAAAACAGAGGAGCGCATATGTTTTATAAGTATTCTAGAAAAATAGGAAATGTAGCAATAGCAATTAGACTTATATATCGCTTCACAGTGCTTTACAGCCATCTCTAAGCGGTTTACAGAGTCAGCATATTGCCCCCAACAATCTGGGCCCTCATTTTACCCACCTCGGAAGGAGGGAAGGCTCAGTCAACTTTGAGCCTGGTGAGATTCAAACTGCCAAATTGCAGTCAGCTGGCAGTCAGCAGAAGTAGCCTGCAGTACTGCATTCAAACCACTGCGCCACCACCGCTCTTATGTACATATATGAATATCAGTTTTACACTATGCCTTGCATCTGTTTTCTTAGACAGGCATCCAGCAGTCTGTACTGTACTTTCTTGCTATATTCAGAGTTTGGCCACTTTCATTTGTGGGCATGCTGGAGCTTGACAAAAAGGTAAGTTTATTGTCTTAGCGATGCTCTCCCCTCTAGTAATACCTGAAGGTAGATCAGTATTCCAAGCCTTCCGCTGTCCTGAATCAATTAGAAATAGATTATTTAAATTTAATATTAATGTACCATCATTATTTTGCTTCCAGGGGAGAGGGACTATAGCTTAATGGTGGTTACATGCTCTCCATGCAGAAAGCCCCAGGTTCAGTTCCAGGCATACCTCCTGAAAAGGCTCCTAGGATTGACTGTGAAAGACATGGAAAGAAATTGAGAGCTACTGAACAGCAGAGCAGATGGTCCTTAACTAGATGGAAAATTGTGTGGTTTGGTAGAAAATAGCTACTGACATCCTTATACGGACAACTCTTGAGGTCATATTTTGTTATGAGTTGATCAGATGCTGGAATCCTCCAGTGATCACTTGACTAATGCGATTTTTTTCCCCCTCCTCAAACCAGATCTTTGGAAATAGCATGGCAGATGTTTCAGTATCTCATGAAATGCTGATTGTAACGCACAGCACAGGTCATGTCAGATTGTATAGCTTCCAGGCAATCTCTGAACGGGTAATAACATACAATTACAATACTTTATTCATTTATTTTTTTTTAGTATCACTATGAACTTATATGAGGTTTTTAAGTGAATTTTAACTTTTGCCAGTGAGGGCATTGGGGAGGCAATTTACTATCCACCTAGGCACTAACCAAAAAGCCTGTTTGGATCCAAATTGAAGAGGAAAAAAGATGATTAAAAAACCTCCTATTTTTTATCCTTTTTCCTTTTTTTGTTTCTATTATTCTATTCTATTTTATTACATTTAAAGATTGCTTCATTTAATTGGGTTTCTTTTAGTGTATTTAGATGTTTTGTCAACATTTTGCATTTTTAACAATAAAATGCCTGGCTCCAAGCCAATGCAGTGTAGAGGACATTTAATTTAATCAGCAATGTACTATTGAAGATCATTTGACCATTTTAATTAAGAAACAAGACTATAATTTGACAATAGAATTTGAGGATGCAATCTCAATCTCATGCACACAGTTACTCAGGAATAAATGTAGGTAAATCCACACAAATAAGATACCAAACATTTGTTATAAATCAATGTAGACCTCTCTTAGATGTGTATGCAAGGACATTATATATTGTATGTGCAATAGAATTAATCAGATGTGATATTATTTTTAGTTCATGGAACACCCGGTGGATTTGGGACAGGAATACAGCTGGAATGGCAAAGTTGGGATTGTGGGGAAATACCCTTTCGGCATTCCGTGTAACATTAAAATAACAGGTATTTATAAAGGCTTATTGTTCATCAGCATAACTGGTTGGCTTTAGATTTTGTTTAAACATGCTAGCAATCCCAATTGGTTTTATAATCTGATGGTATTTTTATATACTGTTACGTTATTCATATTAGCCCTTCCCACTGTAATCCTATACACAAGTTAGCTCTTTGAATTCAGTGACAATCACTTCTAAGCAGGTGAATACAATAACATTGCAGGTGGTGAGGTTGTGGTGTTAAAAAGTGATAGAATTTTTAACAAGTTACCCTGACTAAAATATTAAGGTGATACAGTATTCTGCCGGTTTCCCACAAGCAGAGTCAATGGGCAAGCCAGCAGGCAAGGTCCTATGTTGCTCTGGTAAGTCTCTCTCCTTGCCCTTTCTTTCCTCACACGCACCAAGCTCTTCTTCCCCTTTTGCTCACACACCCACCAAGCACTCTCCTTCTGTAGCCTCCCTACGTTTGCATTCACACATATAATCACCAGGACCATGATTGAAAGGAATTTAACATAGGCACCAAATGAATTACTTTGGGGAAAGTGCTCTAAAAATGGGACACCTATCTGAAAAATGCCCCGCTTTGTGTCCATCTGTTCTTGGGTGGGTGGGTGGGTGGGAGCGAGCAGGGACACAGCAAGAGAGGCTGTTTCTAGACTTTGTAAGTTCATTCTACACTTTGAAGTGGTTTCAGAAACTTAGTGGCAGCCAGTAAAGATGGCAAAGTCCTGGCATATGTAACATTAGCCAAATTAAGTCAGCAGTCTCTGTTCTGAACTGTTTTCAGTGGGAGGCTCATCTCCAATTCATGGCAATAACCCAAGCTGCCTATATAGGTGGTTTCGAAAAATGCTATTTTCCAGACTCTTTTCTCCATCAGTATGTATCTGTCTCTTCAAGAGAATTTTTTTTTTTGCAGTTTTTGTGTTAGCTAGTTATAAAGAGATAGAAGCCATATGTAGCTCACTAGATGTAACTAAACTCAGTTCCTGTCAGTGGTAACTAGCTTAACAAAGTATAAAGGATGTCAGGAGTTGTACTACAACAGTATCTGAAGGACCACTGTTAATTTCTGTTATGCAATAATGCTCCTCTATAAGCTATTGATATTCCATTATGTTTTTAGCAGGACAGGTAAAAACAATTTAGCTTAGCATATGTGTCTCCATATGTAGCATATGTATGTATATATGCATATGGGTACACATTAAAATAAATTGTTCTTACGTGGCTCTGTATGTGTGTTAATTCAATTTTTAAAAAGAAATAAATTATATTTTATATGTTTTTAACTTCTTTATATAGATAAAGTACAATAGCAACTATTCTGACTTTCAGGACAATTCCATTGTTAAATAAGTTTCAGCAGCATTAGTTAGTTACTTGAAAAGGATGCATTGAATAATGCAGAACTATGTCGCTACTTCCATTCTATTTCCCAGTCCCTGGATTTTACATATTCTAAGCCAGTGATTGCTAACCTTTTTGCTGTCGCGTGCCAAAAGTGGGGGGAGAGTGGGGGGGGGTTCATGCGTGTGCATGCCCACACCCATAATGCCCACCCATGCCCCACCCTCCCGCGCACGTTGCATGCTCCCCCTGCGCTCCCCCCGCTTTTGGCACATGATGGCATAGTGGGCCCATTTTTCAGTCTCCCCAGGCTCCAGAGGCTTTCTAGGAGCCTGGGGAGGGCAAAAACAGCCTTCCTCAACCCCCCTGGAGGCTCTCCGGAGGCCGGAAGCAGCCCATTTTCCGACTTCCGGTGGGCCCAGAAGGCCCAAAAATCAGCTGGCCGGCGGGCACATGTGTGCTGGAGCTGAGCTAGGGCAACGCTCGTGTGCCCTCAGATATGGCTCCGCGAGCCACCTGTGGCACCCGTGCTATAGGTTCGCCATCACAGTTCTAAGCCATAATATGGTTTGAGTTTGGCTTAATACGATATGCACGCTCAACAATGTATTTTTTAAGGTATGGTTTATGGCTTACCAGATTGCATGACTCAGGCCATTGTGGCTTCTTCAGCAAACCATTGTTTAAACTAAACAGAGCAAATCACGAAATCCCACTGACAAATATACCGTATTTTTCGCTCCATAAGACACACTTTTTTTCCTCCCAAAAGTGGGTGGAAATGTCTGTGCATCTTATGGAGCGAATATGGGCAACAGGCAGCAGCGGCAAACCGCAGCAATAATCCCCGCCGCCTGGAATAGCTGATCGGCAATATTCTGGGAGGCTGATCCAACCGCCAATCAGCTGCTTGGCAGCAAAAGCTCCAGCATTTCCCAGCAGAGGCATCAGACACGGGGGAGGCAGGCTATTTGCTGCAAGGACACTAGCCAGATGAATATCGGATGAACACTGGGAGGCAGAGGCAGATTTTTTTTTCCTGTTTTCCTCCTCTAAACCTAGGTGCGTCTTATAGTCAGGAGTGTCTTAGGGAGCGAGAAATACGGTATTTGGAATTTAAATCAGCCTCTACTGTCATTTCTCTGGAGTAATTGTGCTGCAGTAGAATCAGGACAACAGGAGGACGTACAGCAATATATTTTTATTTTTGGACTTCAAGACTTCTTGAAGATGTCGGGTTTTCAGTAAAATTAAGAAACAGATCAAGATTTTACTTAACTTTATATTTTTATTAGCCTGGATTATTTTTGCATTCAAATATAAACTTTTATTATTAATTGAAATATTTGCTCTGTGTTTGGCAAAATGTTTCTAATGTTTTTGATCACAGACTCTGTGAAAATTATAAAATTTTCATAATTAAAGTCAATAAAGAAACACTTTGTATGAATATTGAGCAGTTTTATATCGGTTTAGCTGTCATGATTTCCCCCCAAAACGTAGAAGCAGTAGAATGATTTGCTGAAAATGTTTTAGATAAGATTAATAATTAATTTAGTCGGTGGCTATAGTGCACATATGTCCAGATAGCATAACTGCTTTTCCAATAATGTTAGAGTTTCTATTACTGTGTAATTTTTAATATTTCTTTATAATACTTACAGGAAATTGATTCCTTGAGCTGTTCATTAACTCACTCAGATAATCAGTTGAGGTTCTTCTAATTGAATGCAAAGTAGCATGGTTTGTAATCATCACTGCATTATAAAGTAGAAAACTGCATTTTTCCACACTTAGTGCAAATTCAGAGGAAGGTTTTATTTTGATTGACAAGCAGAAGAACAAGTGAAATGATAGAGCTGTTCACGTGAATATATTTATTAATATTCAGTTATTTTCACAGACACTCCAGATCTTCTTTTTGAAGTCTCATCCCTCGAGAGCGCATTTCAAATTGGAGGATATCCTTGGCATTATATCATTACACCTAACAAGAAAAGTCAAGAAGGAATGTTCCATGTTTGTTCTTTAAAAGATCACACTTTGGTAACATTCTAATGCTGTGAATTATGCAGTTCCCTCAGGAATGTTAATAGAATCAAAATGTTAAATGTTTTTTCTTAGATACTGCCTTTCATCAAACAATTTTATTTAGGTGGCAACATAATATTGAAAGTTAATGACCGTCATAATATTGAAGTATTGGGCACAAAATAATACATGATCAAGTTGAGGATTTTTTAAATTTCATTCTGAAAAGGATTCTGGAAGGCCATATCCCACTGAGGGGTATATCCAAAAGCATAGTGAACAAGGCCAACAGTTATGATCTTGATCTTCATTTCCCCTCCCCATCTGGAATGTATTTACTTATTCATATGTAGTCAGAAATAGGTCGCACTGAATTTAGTTGAGCACATTCCTGGAAAAGCGTGAGTAGAATGTTAATGCTAAAGAGGGAATTTAAATGTCAGTTGATCTCATTCCAATTCAGAATTGCATTTTCATATGTCTCTACCCTCTCCTTAGATAAATCATATAGAAATATTGCTTTCCATTAACTTCCATTTTAGTTCTTCAGATCTTTGCAGAATTCTCCCTGCCCGAGGCAAAAACATCCGCCATACTTAATTCTAACCAATAAGGAATTTAAAGCTTAGTGAATTTGGAACAGGACCAAATGGGAGCAACAGTTCCAGAAGCAGAGCCAACAAAACATTCTAAAGATTTTTTTTAAACATAGTGGAACACCAAAGAAGTCTAAATAAGAGCAGATAACAAATAGGTGAAATTGTGGGTTTGAGCTGGGAAAAAGTGTCAAGATTCCTAAAATGTGCTAATCTTCTATATGCATAATTTCCCACAGCCCCTTTAAGAATATTGGGATGTGCAGATGATAGATTTTCTCTCAGCTTTTGCTCTTTTCAGTGTTAGTTTAGATTTAAATGCTTAATCTTTAATATTTAAATGTTAATTTAGATTTAAATTGAAATCTAAATTCTATCGATTTAGGCAAAGAATGGCATACAGGATATGAAATGTTGTTCACTGGAACCTGACAGGATATCTTTCCACCCCGACAGTTCAGGAAGGATGCTACATGTGGGTCCAAATTTAATTAAGTAAGTGATTGCTGAAAACTACTTTGCATCAGGATGAGAGTAATTTGCTAGTTCTGTGTGGGATTGGCTGTTCAGATTGAATAGCTGATCAGCAAAAGTTAGGAGCTATACCATGGGGTTGGGGTGGGCACAGGTGAATGAGAGCCACAGGTAATAAGGAATGGGCAAGTTAACCCAGGGTTTACATCAGGGGTGAAATCCAGCAGGTTCTGACAGGTTCTGGAGAACCGGTAGCAGAAATTTGAGTAGTTCAAAGAACCGGCAAATACCACCTCTGGCTGGCCCCAGAATGGGGTGGGAATGGGGATTTTGCAGTATCCTTCCCCTGCCATGCCCACCAAGCCACACCATGCCCACCAAGCCATGCCCACAGAACCGGTAGTAAAAAAAAATGGATTTTACAACTAGTTTACATGATAGTTTAAATGACAAAGCCAGGTCTTTTAAGGCCAGTAGGGTGAAGATAAATCTGTGGGCTATGATGTTGCATAGAAAGAGCTTTGACAGGAAAAGCTCTCTTTTTGGTCCTCCAGATAGCACTCTCTCATGGATGGCACCAGATCATACCTATACTACTGGATCTAATGACCTCTCTGGGGAGAGACAGTCTCGTAAATAACTTGGTCCCAATCCATGAGGCTTATCCACAATTAAAGTTATCTAGATTAGTATTGCTTTTTGAGAGTGGCTCTTTGGCCGAAATGTTTCTTAACAATTGTAGTGTTGTGCTTAACTGTGACAAGAAAGGTTTTAAAGAAAGGTTTAAACTGTGGAAAAGTTTTAAAATAGGGCAACAGAAATTTTGGGCTCAATTGTCCTCCATTTATGACCACAATTGAGCCTGAATTTCTGCTGTTAAGCAAGGCAGTTGTTGAGTTCTGCCCTATTTTAAAACCTTTCTTGTCACAGTTAAATGCAACACTGCATTTAGTTAGTTAGTTAGTTAGTTAGTTAGTTAGTTAGTTAGTTAGTTAGTAACAGTAACACAGTTGTTAAGTGAATCTCGCTTCCCCATTGACCTTTCTTGTCAGAAGGTCACAAAAGTTGACCCGGGACACTGTAACCCTTGTAAATATGAACCAGTTGCCAAACACCCAAATTTTGATCCCATGACCAGCAACGGTCATATGAAAAATGGTTGTCACTTTTTTCAGTGCCGTTGTAACTTTGAATGATCACTAAACAAATAGGTGTAAGTCAAGGACTACCTGTATGCTATTATGTATGTTACTCTGAAGAAGCACCTAGCTCTTTCAAAAGATCCTTTTTGAAAAAAATCAGCCTTTGGCTCCATCGTGCAGTAATTTGTTCAAACAACCACAACTTCATTTTCTACAAGGAATAAAAAGCAGTAAAATTGGTATTTAGGGAGAAAGTACTTTCAGCTTTCCCCATTCTTGTGAATGTGATTCGATCCCCATGGGGTTTTTCTTTCTACAGAGTTCTGAAGTTGAAGGAAACTGAAAGTGCCAAGCAGCAAGAAGTCACGGAAGATTTTATCATAGAAGCCAACAGGGAAAATAATGTGAGATTATAAAAAGAAAACAGGTTGAAACCATTATTCTTTAAGACAAATATATTTCATTGGGAGAGTTTCTGTTCCTGAGGCCTGAGTCAAACATTACATATATGACAGTTGGCTGGATTCATAAAACATGCTAAGCACAAACCAAAACTTCCTAACCATGATGCCTGTCCTTTGACTGAACTCCTCCTGTTAAAGGATAAATTGTACAAGAGATGTAACACATAATAATCGAGGGGGAAATCTCCTTGCAGCTGTATTTTCTATTTTCTGCAAAGTGATTTTTTTAAAAAATAGTTAAAGTGTTCAAATAAAGGTAAAACAAATGCTCAGTTAGTGTTGTCCTTAGTTGATTGAGTGTCAAAACAGCACAAAAAACCCTCTCTTATCTTCATATTTTTTCATAACAAAGGTGAACAACTCTGTAACAATAACAGCATCTGGCCGAATAGTGAAGAAGCGTTTTAAATTATTGGATGATGATCCTGAGCAAGAGGTAAATTTAGTTTTAGTTAGTTGGCAATCATTTGATCCTAAATAAAGCAATCAGAGAAATGATCCCATTGGCTGGGTAAAGTTTGCATATGCCTACAAAATGTTTGTATTTGTATGCCATAATTTCTTAATTGATATCTCCAGGAATATGTTGGGGGTTGCTCTCTTTTGAAAGAGAAAGAGAGAGATCAAGCATTTTCATTTTATCATTGACCTCTGATCTGTGAGGAATCTTTCTGTGAGTTATTATTGTGTTAATAGGACTTAAAGAATGTGAGGACTGTTAAGTTCCTGGAAAGAGATGTGAGGAATTAACTTGGTTGTTGATTATCTACTTAATCTCGCAAGGTCTTGCCGGAGACCAATTCTATGCTGTTGAAGAGCATGCAGGTCACAAAAAATGATAAATAATGCAAAGAAAACAGTTGAGATCTGAGCTGAGCAATGTGTCCCTACATCATTAGCAATGTATTTTTGGAAACCATTTTTCACTTTCTATTAGGAACTGTAGCCGAGATGACACAGCCACAAGAATTCTAATTCCTCAGCTCTGGAAACCATTTTCAGCCTTGTTTCCATGGAAATGAATATAGTTGGGGGGTGGGGGGTGAAAACATGGCAAGAACTGTTTGAGGCTTTTAGAATCTGTAATTCATTTATATTCAATTGCCAAATTTAAAAAGAGATCACAGAGAAGCAAGACCCCAAGTTTTACCTAAAACATACCTTTTCTTTGGTTTTTTACAGCCTTAAATTATATTTTACAGAAGGAAGTTGTTTAAAATGCTTGCCTGTATTTAATTGGGATACATAAATGCAAAAATTTCTGCAGCCCATTTTAGACTAAATCTTAAAACATGGGATACCTATATGAGTTATCTGTGTGGTGATTTCATCGTTAACAGTTACGTAGTTATTTATTTGGGTAGTTGCTGCATTGTTGTTTTTCCCAGAACATCTCTCCATATCTTAAGCTATTCGTACATTTCAAATCAAATCCTGATGATGTCAGTCATTCTATGCCCATCTGTTACTTAAGTGGGTTGTAAACGTTGTCACACATAAAGTAAAGGAACTAATGTAATGTTGAATTAGGAGCGGAGAGACCTACGATCTATCCCATGCTTAGTCATTGGAAGCTCACTAAGTGTTTTCAAACCCACCTCACAAGATTGTAATTGTGAGGAAAAAATGTACCTATGTACCTATGTCATGTTGAACTCCTGAATGTCAGGATGCAAATTCACTAAATAAACTTGATAATGTACAAGTAAAAGCTCAGATGAGTATAGCCTTGTTCATTGAAATGGAAAGAACCTACCTGCACTCATTTGCCTTTCTACACACACAATGTTTACAGTAAGGCAACTGGAATTTGAGTTATTAAGGTCAACTGTTGAAATAATGCATCTTTCCAGAGATCTCAAGTAAACTGGATTGAAAATGTAGGCTATGACCTGATGAATGAGAGTAAGCTTTTAAAAATTTAGGGAACTTTTCCTCGTTTTTATGTTTTAAATTTGTATTGAAAATAGAAGATACTTTAAAATGTGACTAATGTGCCCACTGCTGGATTTTTTAATTTTAATTTTTTTTTTTTTTTTTTTTTTTTGTGGCAAGACCTTCAAAATTGTCGACTATGAAGATGAACTGAACTTGCTATCTGTTGTGGCTGTTACTCAGATAGGAGTTGATGGGGCAGCTCATCTTGATTTCCATTGTAATGAGCAGGGTATTCGGTTGAAGAGTTTTCCTTTTGTGGAGTCCTGGGATGTGGTAAGTATAATTTAGGTTTTCCTAATGTTCCTACTATCAACATACTACAGTAACTTAGCTCTAATGACATGAGACTGTCGAGCCGTTTATATGTGCCATTCAAATGCTAAAAGATAAAAATTTCCAATATATGGGACAAGTTAAAGTAAAGGAGTTATAGAAAGATAATAATGCAGCAATCTGGAAATACACCCAATGCATTCCTCTTGGATCCATCTGATTTCTATCCAGAGCTGAGTTTTGTAGATTTAAATTGGCTGGTTGCTTTGAAGCTATGAGATACACACTTCCCTCCAAAGAACCTTTCCAATTTAAAAACAAGCTTTAAGCATCTTTTTAAAAACAAAGTTGAAGGACAGGTGTTTTTAATAATTGGATAAATGTATAAATGGCATTTATTTTTTTAAAAAGTTCCCAGTCTGAAGAAAAGGGCAAAGCAAAGCTTTTCAAGCTTTAACATGGAAAAAAAATATATGTCCACAGCTGAAATTCAAACAGAATGCCAAGGAAATCTATAGAATCGGTGATGTTTTTAGGCAAAGTATCAAATGTCTGTGTTATTTTAAAATGCTATACACTGTCCTAGGTATACTACCTAGGCATTACACAGAATGACTATTTAGGCAAAGTATGAAAAAAGAGTCAAGAAAAGGGCTAGGGCTAGCCTTTATTGTAAAGACATATATGAAAATGAAAGAATGCTACCATAGAAGATCCAGTAATTTACCAATAATCTGGAAGTGTTTAAAAAATAAAAAATGTTTTATCACCACAAAGAGTTTATGTGTGGTATAGATGCATTCTCGCTATCCTTTGAAGTGTAAATTATGTTTTTGTTCTCCTAATGCAGACATACAACCATGAAGTTCACTTTGATAGAGATATAGTGCTGCACATACAACAAACACCCCGCAGGATGTTCAGCTGTCACGTATACCAGATGACCTGCAATAGTGGAAAAGATGACAATATACAGAAAGGAAAAAGAAGAGGAAGTGTTTGGTCGAAAACTGGGGGGAGATGCTGAATATTTTTAGATTTCACCTTGATTTGGAGACTTTGCTGTAGACAGTATCTGAAGACGTGCAAGTCTCTTTTTATGCAATGTAATAGTAGTAACTGTTATTCTTCTTTGTATAAATGTAATTCTTTTTATAACTGCTTCCCAGCCTTTGGGCTAAGATCAAATGTACTGTAGTATAAATTATTTTAAATATTTATTTTAAAAAACGCTCAAGTAGCAAAATTGTAAATTGCCACAGATGTATATATATATTTCTAAAATATAGCTCTTTTTTTATTAATATTGCTGGGAGAATTGTGCAGAATGCAAATTCAAACTACATTTATGCTGTCATTAAAAAAATTGGAATTTAAATCATTCTACTCTATGGAGCAGAGAACACTCTTCAGTTCGGTAGGGGCTTAATCGTGGTTATCTATGCCCTGCTACAGCTAGACATTGTATAAACACTAACTGACAGGGTTGCATTTCTTCTAACAGGCAGAGTGGAAGCTGACTTTAGTTCTTCTGTCAGCAGATAACTGATCACTTGCCAGTCATATGAAGAAGATTGTTAAATGAGATTCTCTTTAGAAGTAATACTGTGTGCAGCAGTCTACTACTAAATGCCTAGGGGTGTGTTTACTATTTTACAGTTATGCAGAAATAGAGTGCTTAAGAGTTAAGAATAGGCATCGGTGATTATTTTCTATTTCACCTCTATTTCTCTTTTAGAGATCTATTTTATGTGCTTACTTATTTTTACTTTTTTACATATCCAAGACTTAACTTTATACTCTATTTTTAAATTTTTCTCTCTATATAAGTATCTATTACTTCTATACATCCTTCTAATAACCGTTCTAACTATTTATACATACAGTTTTCTAGAAGTCAGCCGATAGGCTGAACCAATGTTAGTTGTTAGTTAGTTGGTTAGTTTCTTTTTTTCTTGTATTGTCGTTATGTATACATGTTTGTAAGTATTTTTGTCTTATGTTTTTGTTTAATAAAAAAAAAAAAGAGTTAAGAATAGGCTGCTCATTCTCCTGCTGCATGATTTTCCCAATATTTATGTGTGTCCATTCCCAGGTATCCTGTTTTGGGAATTTCCGGTTTTTAATTTCTTTCTTTTTAAAAGAAAAAAAATTCATTTCTGACAGATGTTCCTGAGAATTAATTGTGTTCGATTTCCTCCCTATTCTCAGTGTTTTATTGAAAGATGTTCATTTATGTTAGAACATGTAAAACATTCTCACTTATTCATTTTAATATCCTGGCATTCTGGTGCTGAAAATAAATACTTCTTAATAGTCATAGATGTGATTTGCTTTATACAATATATTGTGCAAACTTAGTCATTACATGTTGGTTTAATACCGTACGATAGATACATCACAAAATGGTATTGATAGTGATATTACCATACTTATTGAATTTATGGGTTTCAAATAGAAAAATACGATTTCCTACTTATAGTTTTATAAATTATTTAAACTTTATCCTGCCTTTTTTATTTTTAGAAGTAACTCAAGGCAGCAAACATATCCAGTACTCCTTCCTCTTCCAATTTTCCGCTCAACAACCTTGTGAGGTGGGTTGGGTTGGGAGAGTATGACTGGGCTAAAGTCACCGAGCTGTCTGTTCATGCCTAAAAACAGGATTAGAATTCACAATCTGCTGGCTTTTAGCCTAGTGTCTTAACCATTAGACCAACTGGCTTTCTTCCTTTTTCTCTTCTACTAGCTAGAAAGATCAGAATGAAATCTATGAGGAACATATTTATTATAACCTTCTTTGCTCATTTTAAAATGAAGGAGAATTGCTAATGAATAGAAGAATAAAAATGTGTAATGTTATGCTAATTTATTATATTTATCAAATCAAATCAACTATTTAAAAATGCAGGTCAATTATGGACTAATCCATCCTGCGATTCTGTCAATGCATTTTGTGGTTCTTACTGCATAATCATATTCTTTTGGAACTGGAAGCCTACATTTTACATTTTGGAATTTCATTGCTATACATCAAGCTATGTAAGCCTCTGGCTATGTGACTTGGCTACATTTACCTTCCTATCTGTCTCAGCCAATGCAAATGAGAAGTAACTTGGAAATCATATTTTTAAATTATTCATTATGCTCAACAGTTAAGTAATATGAGAGAAAGGAAGAAATATCAAAAGCTTCCATATGATCTCTAGGGAGAAAAACTATACTTCAGCTTGGGAAAGGACCAAGAAAATAAATTATGCTTAAATATTTACAGAAATGCTCCAAACATTTTAAAAATAAATAGCCAAAGCAGAGGAGATTGTGTTTCCTTGTTAAATATATGTTTGGAGATAGAACATAACATTCTGGTAGCAGAAAGTGCTCAGGATGTGGAAAGAGGAATTTCAAAATCACCAGTAACTTTATGAAAAAGATTAAACTTCTAACAGGATGTACTGTCAATAGCAACAACTACACTAATAAGAAAACTTGAAAATTACCCTGGACAAATGCCTTAGCAATATAGGCGAAGTTGTTAAGAAAAAATGGGCTTCAACTAATGAATTATTGAAGTTTTATTGAATAGTTTTATCTTCATGAGAATCGGGAGAAGACTGCCTGAGATGTTTGTGCAAACTACTTTTCATGGTCTGGACTCAAGCCTTGTTTATTTGATCATTGCCTTAGTGGTTGATAAGCCCATTATCCTCCAAGGACATTTCTCTTTATTCACTACAATGGTGAAATCCTGATAGGACATTAAGTACCCGTGCAGTCCCTCTAATTAGATATACCAAAGGGATCAATGACTGGACCCAAGCTGAAATGGACAAAATTGGTTGGAAAACTAGGAAACTAATGACCATACATCATGTGCTTCATCCAATAAATGACATTTACATATAGAGGTAGAAAAGGAATGTTTTTTAGAATGAAGGAATGAACTAGAATAAGAAAAATACAGTCTGAATGACTGCATCAGGAAAACTAAAGAGTTTACAAAATGCTTACAAAAGATTGTAAAGAAAGGCTCCCAAAGACAACAAAACCTAAACTGGAATGTAAAAAATAAAGTCAAATTAATATCTGAAAAAGAGCCAATTTACATCTAAATATTAAGTTTATTGACACTCAGGTCCCTGGAGATTTGATCCCAGTTTTACTTCCTTGTAACTTTCAACTAGGAAAGGGTCAGTTTTCACAATTTATATACAATTCCATTAAAGTGGGAGTTAGAATTGTTTATGAATATTCCAGCATCTTGGTTGAACTTGGCTGTAGATGCATTAAAGATCTTAGCAAAGGATTAAAAGCTGTGCCTCAGCTAGGGAAAAGAATGATTAGAGACATGTTAGCTTCCTAAATATATCAATACTCTTGATGTTACACCTTTGCATGCATAACTTCCTTAGTATAAAACGGGTGGGTTCCACTTACCTTCGCTACCGGTTTGCAATGGGAGTGCGGGCACACACTCCCTTTGCATGCTTGCGGCACTTCTGCGCATGCGCAGAGCATCCATGATGACGTCCAGGTGAGTGGGCGGAGCCTCCTGCTGCCGTTACTACCGGTTCGTAAGATCCAAACCAATAGCAACCCACCACAGGTATAAAACCTGCCTTGACCCCTTTGTTACTAAAATTTGTATCAAGATTAACATGAGCCTTATTTCGCTTCTATCATTAATTGCAGCTTGATTGGACCCCTACATACAGAGGATAGACATAATGTGATCCTCAACCACCTTGCTAAACCATGGGTTAAAGAAATACTAACATAAGCAGCCTCTGCTTATCTGTGAACAAATAATCTGCAACTAAACAAGCTATCAATGGTTTCTATATTATGCAAACCAGAAACACTTCATATTCCTCCGGAGGAAAAGCCATGGTTTGTTTTAGTAATCTTTGTTTTGTTTTGAACAAATCAGAATCCCTGGCTTTCCCCATACCATAAAAACCTTGTGTGCAGACATATTGACTTTTTTAACTCAACACATTGCTTACTTGCTGCTAAGTAAAATACATTATCATCACTCTGAATATCACCAGATATATCACTATGATATTATTTTGCTGTGCACAGAACAAGTGGAATAGAAAGAAAATTGGCCTGGAGAGAGTGGAAAATAGAAATTATTTGCAAAATGTATAAAAATCAAATATATTTCAATAGAATAATGAAACAAAGTTACGTATAAGGTAATATTGCAAAAAGTCTTGCAATTGACTTGCAAAAATTGTATTTGTAGAAATCACTGTAACTAGAGGACTGAACAAGAAGGAACCAAAGTTCAAAGTTATTTTTAAGGCACTGAGATAGTGATTATGTGCCATCAAGTCATTTTCAATTCTTAACGGCCACATAGATAAGGACCACACAGATTCTCAAAGACGATCTATCACTAACATTTTCTTTCAACTCCCAACCGTGCACTCATCCCCTCTGTTGTTGAGCCTATCTGCTTTGTCCTTTTCTCTTTCTATGTTTCCTAGAATTACAGCCTTTTCTAGAGAGTGGGTCTTCATATAGTGTATCAGAATTTGTATAAGTGACAATTATGGGTTAATTTGCTCAATGAGCAATCAGTTTGTTTTCTTGGCTATTCACAGAATGCTCAGGAGTGTCTTCTCCAAAACCAAAGTTCAAAGCATTGATAATCATCCTATCCCGCTTCTTTAAACTCCAACTTTTGCTTCCACAGAAGGTCACAGATATAGCAGTAGAAAAAAAAAAACATTTCAGAATCCAAAGCAATTCCTAGTGAAGCAGAATCTGGTTGGATCCTGAAATCACTTTGTCCTAATCATGGGAGAAAAATAGACAAATATGGTTCCAGGATCCAATTGTGTACCTCTTAAGAACTATACTGAATCCAGAATCTTAGATCCAACAGAAAGTGTTAATCTTTTTGTTGATTTTGTAAGAGAGCTCTTGCTAATACTACTGCCTAAACCACTCTTTGAAGTTAAAAACTGGTTGGAAGCCATGTTTTAATGAAATGGCAACAGCTGTGTTCTCTGTTGGAAATACATTTAACTGTAGTCCTGTCTACAGAGCAAGCCTAAAGCATATAGTGTTTGTATCGTGCTAGTAATGTAAGTATGCATAATTTATGTTTGAATTTTTTCATTGCATTTTTACAACTTTTTTCCATTGCTGACTGATTGATAGTTGCTTTTTAATTTATTTCAAGATAAAGATTTAGAGAGTTTAGAATGGATATGACCTCAATAAAGGCTTAACTTTTGGCTGAAACTAGTACCCTAATATATTGTTTTACAATTCTATTTAAAGGGTTGTTTTGTTTAATTTTCACTTTGGGACTTTTATTTTTCACTAATCTGTGAATAAAGTTAGATTTCTTTCCTGTGCAATCATACCCAGCAATCACAAATTATATTAAATGGAGAAAGCTAATGTAAAAAGAAGGGATGGAGAAAGATACATCGTAAGAAAGTTGAGGTAAAAAAGAGATCAGTGCAAACTCTTGGTTTGGGGTGAAAATTAGGGCCTGAGTGTGTCTGAAACTGGTTAACTGATCAAACATTCCTCTTTCTTTCAATGTTCTACAATGTCTTCTTTAAAAGTTTCCACCTCTTTTAACATCAGTCTTACTTCATGCTCTTATTTCTGCTAGATTTACCTTTCCATGTTCTGAAGGACTACCTTGTTTTTTATTAGAGCTTATTCCTTTCTCATTCTAATCCTGGCGTAGATATATTAAAATGCAACCAGACTTTTTTGACAGGCCTCTAACTTTAATGTCTTGCATATTTAAAACTTTAAGCTAAACATTCTTCAACCGTCTTAAATATCTTGTGCTAATCATAATAATTTTACAAAGTCATATACCCTGGGCACCTAAATGTGTGTGCATGTGTTTAAATTTGTATGTGTAATAAATTTAACTCTCTTTAACTCCCAAAAGTCTGAGTGACTTTTAATACCCAACTATAAAATTAAAACAGTTAAAAGCATAAAATAAAACCCATCAGCCCAGTTCAAAAACAACCTTAACAATAAAAACATAATACACTACCCTCAGGCCTGGAACAGATCCAGATCATAAGAGCTCCTGGAACCTCAGGAGACTGGATGCTATGTGTATCTCTGATGGATGTTGTTCCAGAAGGTAGGGGCAACAATACAGAAGGCACAATTCATTGGTCCCCAAAATGATGTTTAATTGAAGGGACCTAAAGCACATTCACTCTAACTGAACATACCTAGTGGAGAGAAACAAATAGAGATAGGCGGCCCTTCAAATAATAGGCCCTAGGCCACAAAGGGTTTTATAGGTAGCAATTAACATCTTGA